CACCACTGTTTTAAATTCAGTGGTTACAAGACATACAGGAGGCATTTCACGCAGGCCTTCAACAAGAGGATGTATGATCTTGGTCAAGTCAAGCATACCCTCCTCCGAGGTCATGCAGCAATTTCCATGTGGGGAAAACATCGAGACACAGGCCGCCAAAGTAACCCTCCAAGAACGGGAATTAACTGTTCACAACATCTACAAGAACCCAAGGGGCTCACTGGAGGTGACTCAATTATTCGCTTCGGCCGCTGACCACGCCACACTCATAGGAGGGGATTTCAACGCACATCATCCCTTCCTAAGCTCGGTAAGCCCCACAAATGAAGACGGCCTACACCTACTGTATACACCACCTTTCAAGACACACCCGAGATCTGCCTCCTGAACACCGGAGAGCCCACCCACATTAGAGGAGGAAGGCTAGATCTAACCTTCGTCTCCAGTGCACTACAGCCTTCGGCCTCCTGGCAGCTACACCCCACGCTGACCAGCGACCACTTCGCCACCCTAACAACGCTGAAGGTGAACAAGCTCCCCACTCCACCCCCGCCGAGATGGAGATACAATACCCAAAAGGCAGACTGGGGACTCTTTAAGAAACACCTGGCTAAGTGGCGCGAAAAATCACAGCCGGCCGGCGCAGCACCCGTGGACGAGACAACCCTCCACCAACAATCGGTCGAGGCGTTTCACCAAGCGGCAGAAGAGGCTATCCCAAAAACAAAACCCACATCAAGACAGTACAATGATTACTGGTACTACTGTCCCACGGTGAAAGAACTCAACCACAGAGTGAACATGGCCCGAAGAAACTACAGGAGACATCCCACGGAAACAAACAGACATCTCCTGCAAGTCATAGTTAAGGATACCAGGGAAGAGAAGGAAAAAGGAAAATAAAAAAACGTAAAGCTGGCTCAAGTGGTGCTCCGAACTGAACAGAGCACACCTCCCTTAGCAAGATGTGGGCCCAGATCCAGGGAGCATCTGGGAAGGCAACACCACCACCACCAACCCATTCCAACCCAGAAGAGGAAGCCGAGAGATTTGCAAAACTGTTCTCTGACCGAGTAGCAACGAAAAACCTCCCGAGACATGTGGAGGAGACACAACGGCGTCTGCGACAGGCCAGAATCCAGATGATCGAAGAGGCCTGCAACAGTGAAGATGACACCGATAGACCTTTCAACCAGCAAGAACTCCAGAAGTCGATAAAACGAAGCAAGGACACAGCACCAGGGGCCGACAGGATAACCTACTCCATGCTTTCCCATGCCGGAGAAGCCGGGTACGAGGCTTTGCTATAAGTCATCAATGCTTCGTGGACAGCACAAAGACTTCCACCGGAATGGAAGAAGGCAGATATACAGCCCATTCCGAAGCCCAGAGAATGGCTCTCAACAAAGTCAAGTAGAAAGTAGGCAGCCCACACCTTCACATTTTTGCTTACACCGAGAACACTGGCACAGGCAACAAAATCGCGGAGATACTCAGCACAGTGGACAATAAACCAGCTTTGATGGTCTTCCTCGACCTGGAGAAGGCCTTCGAACTAGCAAATCCACTGGCCGTTATAACGACGCTCGCTGAAAAAGGCGTCAAAGGAAGGTTGCTGGGGTGGATCCAGAACTACCTCACACAGAGAGAAGCAAGAGTACGCTTTCAGGGAGCAACCTCAAGCTACACGGTCCATGAAAACGGAACCCCACAAGGAGGCATCCTCAGTCCAACGCTGTTCAATGTCCTGATGGAAAAGCTTGTCAGACTTCCTTTCAGACAAACAGCCAAGCTCCTATGCTATACGGACGACTTACAGCTCTTAGTAAGAGGAGAAAACAGACTAGTCAACATGCAACACGCACTCCAACTTATGGAAGAGGAATGCAACAGACTTGGACTCAAGATAAATCCAGCCAAGTCGAAAGCGATGGCCATCTGCACAGACACACCGGACATGATGCTCTCCATAAAAAACACGCCGGTAGTCTGGACCAACACCCACCAGTGTCTTGGAATCTGGTTCGACCAGAAACTCACTTTCAAGCCGCAACTCGAGTATCTCAGGCACAGGACGAAGAGCAGACACAATATAATGAGGTCGCTCACCAACACAACCGCAGGAGCGAACATACATGTGCTCAAAGCCTACTACACGGCCGCCATCAGATCGCTGGTAGATTACAGTGCTCCAGCACTCATTGGACTGAGAGAAGACCAGATAGCTAAGCTATAAGTTATCCAAAATAATGCTCTCAGGACCATGCTCGGAGCACCCATGTGGACCAGAACTTGCAATTTGCAAATGGAAACTGAACAACTACCAACCCTGGCAGTACGAGTCAAGCAGGTGACAGCCGGTCTCCTCGCCAAAATCTGTAGATCAGATAATCCCACAGCTGCCAAAACGCGAATCAGTGCCTCCCTCCACCTCGACCACACAGTGCGAGGGGCCACCTGGTCGCACGAGGCAAGCGAGGTCATCCGACACCTGCAAGCAGAAACACTCGTCAAGAACAACCAAGACATACGAGACAATGGTTACGTAGTTCCTCCACCATGGAGCCCTCCACCAGCCACATTCAAAATTACCGAACTAGGTGATAGCAAAGCCAACCTCCAGAATGAGGACCTCAAAATAATAACTCTGGAAGCCATAGCCACCGAGACACCAGCTGATGCAGCATCACACTTCACAGACGGCTTGGTGGACCCAAAACATCATACATCCGGAGCGGCCTTCTACACCCAAGGTCAGACCCTCCTGTGGAGACTTTCTAATGACTGCTCCACCCTACAAACAGAGTTGGTAGCAATCTCAAAGGCCCTACAACACGCTGCAACACAACACAACAAGTCCATCATAATTCACACGGACTCGAAAACGGCCATGCAGGCGCTGCAACACAGTCAACCAAGAGACAACGTCCACATCATAACCTCGATCCTCGCACAGTTACAGGACTTCCAAAGACAAAACCGCCCAGTCGCCTTACACTGGATTCCCAGTCATGTAGGGATCGAGGGAAACGACGTGGCAGACGAAGCAGCCAAGGCAGCCACACGTTCTAGAAGTGTATACATTCAAGTTCCAGCAAGCGTGCAACAGATCAAGAATCACCTCAGAAAGACTTGCAAGCTCCACATCCAAAAGAGCTTCCTTCACGCATTCAACGCTGGTTCCCAATCAGCTAAATGGTACCTGGCGGCTACAAAAGGGGAACCACCTTTCGCGGACAAGAAAACACCAAGACAAACCCAAGTTAGCCTTCATCGACTACGACTAGGTACAAGTGCTGCTTGCAGACGATCGGAAATGTTGTCATAGAATGCACCTACTGTCAGGAGCCAGCAGCCAACCCACTTGAACACAATCTCCTCGACTGCGAAGTCACACAAAGTCTCCAAAACAGAATTAAAAACTTCCAAGAAGAACACAGAACACCAGCGGCCACTCTCACCCGAAAGGCCCAAACAAACCACATTCACCACTTTCTCCGGGTCATCACACGATACCCACCACCCAGATAGCTTAGGAAGTATCCTCTCCCAGCAAGTGCGGACCCCAGTTCGGGGGGCGCGCCACTCCGAAACTGACCACGTCCAAGTGTGGGGGTTGGTGGTAAGCGTCCACTGATCGAGGGTCCGCTCACACTTGCAACCTGCAGTATCCTTTCATATCTGCAGGTAGGACAACCTCCAATCCCAAATCCGGTCTGGCTGCTCCAGGAGCTCCAGCCGAAACCACCAAACGGGCCGCCTATAGGCAAAGGCCCGTATCGGACTACGGTCCGACAATCTCAACAACAACAACAACAAATCCCACGTTCATTCTCATTTCATTCTGATTCTCATCGTGATTCTCACACGACTATCATTCAGAGAGGTTGGTCATTGAGAGGTCATTCTGGTCACTCGCACAGAGTCACGCTCGTCCCCACCCCCCAGGTCGGGGGGGAGGGGGGGTAAGACTTCACGACGTCACCAGCTGAGGAGAGCATCACATACGGCAGCCCAGCCAAGCACCCACTGGGCCTACGTCAGGGTACACGTGAGTCTTGTCAGAACTATTTCTAGGGTGAATTACTTACTGTGGGAAGTGTATTCATTCATGTTGTATCTGAGAGTCAGTGTCAAGTAACGTTAGACCTAACGCGTTAATACCCCGATATAATAGTGATATTGATGTGTCCATGTCATTAAGTGAATTAATAAATAGTTGTGTCGAAGAGGTGTTTACCAAGTTGTTCCTTTAAGAAGTAATATATGTGTATTGACATACGAGATAATAAGATAAGCGTATTGACGCAGTGTAAATAACAAGAGGCCACGCTACGCAACCTTCCTATCTTTACATTCCTACTCTCTATACTTCCTACTTATATGTAATATCTTCTTCTCATTGTGTTCTGTCTCATTATAGTAATGTGTAAAGTAAGACCTTAGTGGTGCAGTCTTGTCTGAGTGTACTTAATTAACATCTTGTTCACTCCATATGTTAATAAATATTAAATTAGTAAACTACGAGTATCACCGCTCTATCTCTTTTACCTGTTGGTTCTCAGAAAATAACTTTGTAACTCACGTGCCTAGAAGCTTGCAAGCACGCTACCTAACAGTTCAATGAGATATGTTATATTCTAATAAAAGTCTGGGTGGTGGCAGGCTACCGTTGTAAGTATAATAAGTGTTATAATAAGAATGACATGGTTTCCCAGACTAATCCATTGTTTAGAATATAACTAAAACAGGATATAATTGAGAAAAAGTAAGAACATGAAAATGAGAAAATACAATAATATATATGAAGCAAGTATATAAGTAAAGAAAGAAGAATAAATATAATAAATATGAAGTAAGGAAAAACAGACCCTTACAAGTGTAGGTGTACATAGAACACAAATAGTGCAGATATCAAAACAATCTGTAAAGTACGTGCAGGTTTTATACCTGCACTTTCTTTATATAATGCAAGTGAGTGTGTGGATATATAAACAATGTTTAACTGTGAATATTATATTTTATCAATTGAGAAAGAAACGGTAGAGATACGGATAAAAATAAACAGAAGTGCAGAAACAGAGATATCAAAAGGGGTAACAAGCTAAAAATAGTATTCTCAAGAGAGTACAGTCCCTCGTCAGCTTCCAGTGTACTTCGTGGCGCAAGGTGGTGCTGCAACTTAGCATGGCAAACACTTAATGCAGGCGCACCACTAGTGAGAGCCAGAGTAACACAGGCGAACCACTGGTAAGAGCCAGAGTAACACAGGCGTTCCATTAGTGAGAGCCAGAGTAACACAGGCATACCACTAATGAGAGCCAGAGTAACACAGGTGTACCACTAGTGAGAGACAGAGTAACACTGGCATACCACTGGTGAGAGCCAGAGTAACACAGGTGTACCACTAGTGAGAGCCAGAGTAACAGAGGCGTACCACTGGATAGAGCCAGGGTAACACAAGCGTACCACTGGTAAAAAGCAGAGTAACACAGGCGTACCATTATTGAGAGCCAGAGTAACACAAGCGTACCACTAGTGAGAGTCAGAGTAACACAGGCGTACCACAAGTGAGAGCCAGAGTAACACAGGCGTACCACTGGTAAGAGCCAGAGTATCACAGGCGTACCACTAGTGAGAGCCAGAGTAACACAAGTGTACCACTAGTGAGAGCCAGAGTAACACAGGCATACCACTAGTGAGAGCCAGAGTAACCCAGGCGTACCACTAGTGAGAGCCAGAGTAACACAGGTGTACCAATAGTGAGAGCCAGAGTAACACAGGCTTACCACTAGTGAGAGCCAGAGTAACACAGGCGTTCCAATAGTGAGAGCCAGAGTAACACAGGCGTTCCAATAGTGAGAGCCAGAGTAACACAGGTGTACCAATAGTGAGAGCCAGAGTAATATCCAGGTGTTCATACTCAGCGTTTCTCATCATCTTCTGACTGTCAGCATAACGTGTTTTGGTCCAAAATTATATTCTCTATTTGTGGCCGTCAGTCAGATGCTTTCACCGCGAACAGTTGATAATCACTTGTTCCCAGCGGAAGTGACGTTACAGGGCGAAGAACTCAGCACACTGATACGTCACATTATTTTGTACATAAAGAAAGATGGGTTATAATTATCTTAAGTTCATTAACATTGCACACCGTGGACTATTAATTGAGGACTCATGTTGCAACAGCGTATGGTTTGCAGGTAATGGTAAATGTTGTCTACAAAACTATATTCAGGAAGTGTTGCAGACTTGATGAGGGCGTATTCAGGGCGTGTTAAAATTTTGTCCAAGACGTGTTTATATCTGCAGCTTCTCCATTTCTTTCTTGTCTCCCTCGCCAATTCTGATTAGAAAAGAAAAATATTGCCTCGTCAACCTTGACCTAAAGAAAAACAGTATGAAAACTAAAAACATATTTGAGTCACCAACTTTTCACTATAAACATAATAAGGTTAAGAGTCTTAAGTGTATGTATATTATGTATGCTGTATGTATATTATGTATGTATATTATGTATGCTGTATGTATATTATGTATGTGCTCCATTTATATACACTATTTATTCAGCCTAGCTAGCAGCGTGTGGCAATGTATTTACCATGTCCCACATGCTTAATCAATGTGCCTGGCGACATATGGAAGCTGCTAATGTATTACTTACCACATGTCGCCCTAAGGGCTAGTTGACCCGCCATAGAGAGTAAGGAGCGCCACCTTGCTTGTGTACCTTCGCTTATCCAGTAAATAGAACCTACGAAAACTCTACAGGTGTTTGTGTTCGCTCCTGTAGATAGAACTTGATACCCAGAACACATACATGGCGCAGTGAACCGATTTTACTGGATAATTATATAAGTGAAAGTGTAAAGTTTGTGGGAAGACCGGCTTATGGACCCCTGCTCTGTGTCAACCACCGCTAATGGCCGTCTCCTCCAAGAATTTATAGCAACTTTGAGCAGTGTTAGTGACAGTGATTCTCTGTGAAGTGTTTAGTGCATTGTGTGTTTCGTGCCATATCTGTGTGACCTTGTTCTAAAGGATTCCCAAGGTAAAAAGCATGTACTGGGCATTTGTAAGGAGTAAAGTTTTTCGCATCCTCCTCTTGCCATGTCCAGGGGGTAACTGACCGTGAGTCCCCTCCACCCCCTCACAGCGAGACACTGACCGAGACACGCACACACACACATACACACACGTACAAACACACTGACTGCGGCTATTCCTTTATATATATTTTATATATATAATCTACTTATCTGTGCATTTAATTAATTTTTTTTGTCTCAGATCTTGTTGATACGACGAGCTGACCGGTCAACACTGATTTAAGACACAGTACACAGATTAAGTTATTATGTCTCGTGCCTTACACAGTCGTGGAGCCAATGCCCGGATGAGTCAGTCGGATGACAGCTCGGCAGAGATGCATGACCAGGTTGAACAGGACGCTTCAGCTCCCACCACATCGCGCAGCCCTTCACCTCGATATTCAGCGTTGTCTTCAGAGATAATTGCTTTAATAAAGTTTATGAGGGATGAAAGGCGTCACGACTTTGCTAAAAGAAGTGTGGAGGATGAAGAAAGAAGACAAGCAGAGGCAGAGAGAGACCACCAACGGAGATTGGAAGACAGTGCACGGTTTGAAGCTTTGATATCTCGCCTCACTGTTAACCAAGCCCCTGGCTCTAACACTGCCTCGGTACTGACTGGTTGAGAGACCTCATCAATGCTTCCTTCACGCCCCCCAGCCCCACCTAAAGCGGCCGCTCAAACACCGCCCATCTTGAAGCCTGATGTGAATTTCCAGACTTTTCGTGAATGGCGGCGACGGTGGACTGATTATTCTACAATGGTGGATATCCAGAGTTTGTCACAGCCTAAACAACTTATTCAGCTGCGTATGTGCCTGTCCTTGGAAACTCAGCGTGTCTTGGAACAGACATTGTAGGTACCTCCGACCTCTTCGTTGTCTGTAGAGGAGGTTCTGGACATTCTACAACGGCACATCAAAGGGCAGCGGAATGAAGCTCTACGCAGGAGGGAATTGTTTAGCTGCAGACAGATGAAGGGCGAGAATTTTGATGCCTTTTATGTACGACTCAAGAGAGCCTTGGAAGAGGTAGATATATGCCAAGGTAACCACCAGCAGTGCGAGGAGACCCAGTTGAAGCAGGTGATCCTGATGAGTGTTAAGGACGAAGAGCTTGTCCAACGCCTCACCTCCCTCGACTCTTCCTCTTCTCTTAAGGATGTTTTGACGATATGTTGCTCCTATGAGGCTGCCAGGTGTGCCACCTCTGCCATCCGAGCTCCCCCTACAGCTGTACACGCTGTGTCCCAGTACAAGAAGGACAAGAAGTCTACTCCAACGCCTTCGCCCACCAAGCCCACGCCCGGTTCATTTTGTAACAACTGTGGTAAGCAGCACGGGACACAGGTGTGTCCCGCTGCTGAGTCTACCCGCAACAGTTGTGACCGTAAGGGCCACTGGTCGCTCACAGTGCGGTGCCCAGCTAAGCACGTCCAGTGCAATGTGTGCGGTCGTCTGGGCCACTATGACAAGTGTTGCCCTACCAACAAACCCAAGGGACAGCGTCGGCGGAAGCTTCAGCGCCCTTCCACCAGTGAGGGCCGCCCACAGTCTTCCAGTCAGAAGCATGACGACCCTGGACAACGCTCCAGCCATATTAGGAATGTGTGCTCCCCCTCGCGACCCAGGACCAAAGTCCCCCAGCACATCAGAGTCATCGTGACCTACGGCAGTGTGTCATCCCGTCTTCAGATGTTGCCCGACACCGGCGCTGATGCTACAGTCATCGGTCCCCAGCATTTGCAATGCTTGGGGCTCACTCCAAGTGTTCTAGGACCGCCCCCCAAGGATATCCGCTTCACAGCAGATGGTTCACAGATGGCCCCAGCCCTAGGTTCACTCCAAGCACAAGTCACCTTTGGTAACAGGTCGTGTCAAGCCTGGATTCATGTGCATAACAGTGTCCCGACTCCTTTGCTGTCCTACAGACATTGTCAAGCGTTGGCCATCATCTCCCAGGACTTCCCCAAACCTATTCTCGAGGTAAAACACGCCAACAGGGTGCACGAAGGGAGCAGCAACTACCCTGCTACCGCCCTTCCCCTGCCTCTTGCCAGTGACACCTCCCCTTCGGATGCTCGGAAGTACTTCCTGAAGGAATTCAGCGACGTTCTGGTGACCAAGTCCGCTCTGGAATCCAAGCCTCTCAAGAAGATGGTAGGTCCCCCTATGAGGATCCACTTGAGGGACGACGCGAAGCCCTTCACTATTTACACCCCTCGACTGATCTCCCTGGCCTTCCGCGAGGCGGTCAAAAACGAGCTGGACTCCATGGTCGTCTAAGAAATTGTTGCACTAGCTGGCGATGACCTGTCTCCATGGTGTTACCCTATGGTAGTCGTCGCAAAACCCAAAGGTGGTGTTCGGATCACCACTGACTCTCCAAGCTCAACAGCCAGGTGTCTCGTCCTGCTCACCCTTCTCCCACGCTCTTTGCAGCTATACGCAGTGTGAACCCGAAAGCGGGCTTCTTCACGACGATGGACGCCCTCTGTGGATACTGGCAGATAGAGCTTGCCGAAGAAGACCGACCACTTACGACTTTTATCACCCCGCATGGACATTACAGTTATTGCCGCGGCCCCATGGGATTCGCCGCAACAGGAGACGCTTTCTGTCTTCGAGGTGATATGGCTCTACAAGGTATGGCAAACTGCGTGAAAGTGGTCGACGACATACTCGTATACGATGAGGATTACGCGGATCACCTCTGCCGTATCTACGAGGTACTCAACAGGTGCCGGAAGCACGGCATCACCCTAAATGCCGACAAATTTGTTCTGGCCAGCTCTTCAGTGGACTTTTGTGGGTACACCCTCTCAGGGAATGGTATTGCAGCTGACCCGGAACAGCGGCCCGAGATGACCCTTCCTACGTCCGACTCGTCTAGTGTGTGAGGAATGGATTCCCTAGCAACCACTATGACCTTCACAACACCCTGCTTCCCTATTGGAAACTCCGCGATGAACTCTACTGCGACAGAGACCTTGTTCTGTACGGAGCACGTGCAGTTGTCCCTGCTGCATCACGTCCCCATGTCTTGGCTCGCCTTCACGACAGTCACCGTGGAGCTGAGGCCACCAAACGACGTGCACGACAGGCTGTGTTCTGGCCCGGCATCGACTCCGACATCTCCAATGTTGTCCGTGCGTGTGAACCCTGCCAAGTATTACAACCCAGCCAGCAGCAGGAACCCTTCATGAGTGACGACAACCCAGAGGTCTCAGCCAACAAGCCGGGACTTTGCTGTGTTCCTCGACTGATGGGGAGTCCGGCATTTGTTGTCATCGCTTCATTACCCGCAGTCCAACGGCCACGCTGAGGCTGCTGTCAAATCCTTGAAGCACCTCATCCTTAAGGTGGCCCCTTCTGGGAATATTGACTGCGAGGCCTTCGACCGGGGTCTTCTTGAACTCCGCAACACACTTAACTAGGACGCTCCCCCGCCCAGGTCTTGTATCCCTGCTCACCCTCAATCCTTCTCCAAGGAGTGGCAGGCCAAGACAGAGGATTGTGATCGCCGAGCCGCTGAACGAGTTCAAGACGTCGTCGCCCGCTACAACGACCACGCCCGTTCTCTCCCCAGGTTGAGTGTCGGCACCCAAGTCCGTGTTCAGGACCCGACCTCCCTACGTTGGGACAAGGTGGGCGTAGTCATGGGTCTCGGTAGGTCACGGGACTACCAGGTACGGTTACCCAGGGGTCGTGTGTGGTGGAGGAACCGCCGTTTTCTCTGCCCCGTAACAACGCCTTCTGCTGACCCTGCCACCAGTGTTGAGTCCCATACCCTCCCAAGTGATCAAGTCCCTCGATGCTCAGAACGGATCCAAAGGAAAAGGTCTGCTCAAGACTTTGCTATGAGCGTATAGAGGGGAGGGAGGTGTATGTATATTGTATATTATGTATGCTGTATGTATATTATGTATGTATATTATGTATGCTGTGTGTATATTATGTATGCTGTATGTATATTATGTATGTGCTCCATTTATATACACTATTTATTCAGCCTAGCTAGTAGCGTGTGGCAATGTATTTACCATGTCCCACATGCTTAATCAATGTGCCTGGCGACATATGGAAGCTGCTAATGTATCACTTACCACATGTCGCCCGAGAGGCTAGTTGACTCCCCATACAGAGTAAGGAGCGCCACCTCCCTTGTGTACGTTCGCTTATCCAGTAAATAGAACCTACGAAAACTCAACAGGTGTTTGTGTTTGCTCCTGTAGATAGAACTTGATACCCATAACACATACATTAAGTAGCAAAGAAAAGAAAAACAATACAACGGTATTATATTTTCTCCTATAAAAATAAAATATAACAAAGTCTTACTTTTTCTTCTTGGAAAATACGTCCTCCAGGTCGTTGATGGTATCAGGCATTGCCATCAACCGAGTCTCCGGCAGCGTTAGGAGACTCAAGGCAGACAAAAAGGATGACACCCCGAAGATCATGGACGGCAACCAGGAAACTATTGGACCCTGGGGAGAACGTTAAAGAGTTAGTGAGACTCCTGACATAGATCATTATGATATTATTGGGACCTCCGAAGTACATTCAAGGGTTAGCCAGTTGATGCTGTCAGCCCTATGGTAAGAGTTAATAGGGCCCTTTAAAGGGTTTTCAAGGGATAGTGAGGTCCTTCAAATGGTAGTCGAAGGCTAATAGGGCCCTTCAAAAGATAACCAGGGGTTAATAGGACCCTTCAAAGAGTACTTAAGTGTTATTTCATCCCGCAGGGTACTTCCATAGGTTAGTTGAGCCCTTTGAATTACTCCTTTATCAGCTTTCAAAGACATCAAATCGTTATTAAGACCTACGGAGGTCATCTTGGAGCTTTCAGGTAAGTCCAAGGAAAGATTACGTCCGCAGGTTAAGTGGGATCTTCAGAGAGGATCTACAAGTGTATTCCTCAGAAGATATTCAAGGAGTGAGTACGTCCAAGGGGTGAAGGAAGCATCTTGTTGTACGTATAAAGGTTAGATGTACTCTTTGAAGTGCTTCTAGTGGTTGAAGAGTTTTCACAATATACAAAACCCCGATGAATGACAGCGGTTTTCTAATTTTGAGAGGAGGAAGGTCACAAGATGTATTGTCTGCTTTTCACTTATAAAGATGCAAGTTATTTTGGAAGAACAGAGAAATAGAGAGAGAGGTAACTTTGATTTTAGACTGAAACTGAACAGTTTATAGTAAATGAGGAAATTATAGGAAAAAGCAAGAACGACTATGAAGAAAATTAATGTTTATATAGACATTTTGCCAATTCAAACAAATCGTATTTCAAAATGAGACTGTGACTTGCGATGTGTCCTGAAATATATGATGTGTAAAGCAAGATTGGCTGAGGCGTTGTTGTATAAGAGATTTATTGTGGACTTACAGGTTACCATATTCTCTAGCCTAAGCTCTAGGGAGTAGGCAAGACAACTGATGGGTCATACCCACGACTTCATTACAGAAAGTTTCTTGTACTTTTCCTTTGAGAGAATCATCAGGAATGTTAGTGTAGATACAGCACACTGCATAGTAAATACACTTCTAAGGAAACATCCTTAGCACATGATATCCCCTGAAGTAATACAGAAGATGCAGAACTTACCAGGACATCGATAACGTAGGGAGAAATGGTGTTTGCTAACTGTCCCATCATGCCGTTCACCGCGGCACCCTGGAGACGAACTTCCGTGGGTAGCAGCTCCGTTTCGTACACTATGACCATCATAAAGACTCCACTGATGGCCAGTTTGCCAATCATGGCTAGCGTCATCACAAGCCACGAGATATCTGATGAAGAGATCATTCTATCAGGGACTTGAGAAAGGCAGAATGAGTAAAGTTTGTGAGAAAGATGAGTAAGTGGATAGAGTGCAGGTCCGCAAAAGTTGTCTTCATAGAGGGCAGGTCAGTCCGGGTTGTGTTGATAGAGGGCAGGTCAGTCCGGGTTGTGTTGATAGAGGGCAGGTCAGTCCGGGTTGTGTTGATAGAGGGCAGGTCAGTCCGGGTTGTGTTGATAGAGGGCAGGTCTGTCCGGGTTGTGTTGATAGAGGGCAGGGTCAGTCCGGAGTTGTGTTGATAGAGGGCAGGCCGTCCGGGTTGTGTTGGATAGAGGGCAGGTCAGTCCGGGTTGTGTTGATAGAGGCAGGTCAGTCCGGGTTGTGCTGGATAGAGGGCAGGTCAGTCCTGGCTGTGTTGATAGAGTGGCAGGTCAGTCCGGGTTGTGTTGATAGAGGGCAGGTCAGTCCGGGTTGTGTTGATAGAGGGCAGGTCAGTCCGGGTTGTGTTGATAGAGGGCAGGTCAGTCCGGGTTGTGTTGATAGAGGGCAGGTAAGGTTGATAGAAGACAGGGCAACCAGGTTATCTTTATAGAGGGAAAGTTAGCCAATGTTCTGTGATGCAAGCTAAGCTAGTCGAACAACTTTAAGGAGTGACACTTTATCTGATTTCCAGAGTATAGGAGTTATAGATAAACTTCTAGTATATCCTAACGTTACGGTTATATTAAGTTAATAAATACATATAATAATGAACGAGTATGCTCTTTACCTGAAGGTATAAATGCGAGAGAGAGAAGGGCAGCCCCACAAATGTACAAGCCAATCATGATGGGCATTTTTCTACCCCAGTGGGCGATTATGGGGGAGGTGAGGGTGTATCCAGGTACCTCCATTAGCCCACCAATAACGACATAAATAAATGGGTTAGAGCTGTAAATGTTCCCGCTAAGACTGAGGCCACAATACACCAGGTTGCATGTGAAGACGTTCAGGCTAAGTACGCTCATGATGAGTCTGATGTTCGAAGTACTGTGGAGTAGACAGGAATTAGTCACACACCTTTAATTAAATTGGTGGTAATAATCATGAAAGCAACAGTTGACCACAAATGTAAAAGCAAGAATCAACCGTCTGTCATTATAGATTTATTGGTCGTGGCAACTGGTTGGCGACAGTAGACAAATGCCAATAGTTTTATGAGTAACCTAGTGTGGTATTCTCTATTCCTACAGATATAATGTCAGACCTCTTCTGTATTTTTTTTAAACTTTACTGAAAGTCTCATACATATGAAATTTAATTTTTTTATTTTATGAGAAAAAAATATGTGACAAGTAAATATGCTGACAAGTGATATGTATCGTCGTAAAAGAATGAAATGTTTAGTATGAAGGAATTTCTCTTATCATGAGACAAAACTACCACAATAGGGTGTGTCATTGGAGGGAAGATCAGCTAAAACGAATGGCCCATCACTTTTTTGGTAGATTTTAGTGTATATAAACAGAAAATAATTTCAGTTTCAATATTTTGCAACCTTTTGCTAGGTAAATTTTAGCGTGAAATTTATCGAAAATCTAACGTACAGCTGCATTAGTGCATTACAATTAAATAGTGAACATTGCTTTCTGACTTCATTCTTTAACAACCCAACTAACAATATTTTTTTCTGTTTCAGATTCTGATGCATTTATAAGTTGATAATATTTGCGATGGCTGCTTGTGTCAGGACGAGGAACCAAAATCCAGCATCTCAGTCACTATCTTGGGTCTGGGAGAGAGCTCCTGAAGTCGGAGTTGCCTACATTGAGATGCTTTGAGATACGGTGTTTAATCAGGCAACCAGTGAAAAGAACCAAAGAACTTACACAAACAAAGACATTGCCAGTGATATGACCAAAGCTGTCTTGGCACAGTACACTCTGGCTAACGCTCAGTTCAAGCCTCCAGTCATAACAAGTCAGAAGAAGATTATGAGAGACTGCTACTAGTTGGGGAAAAGGCAAGAGATATCTCTCTTGGGAGAGTGAAAACTTGCAGTTAAGGACAGCTTTGCCACAACTGACCAGTTATTTGACATATAATTACTTGCAAGTGCCCAATTGTTCTCTGTCCTGAGTTTGGATGCGATCGTGACTGTAAATCCGAGGCCCACATCTCCTGTATTTGCAAGCGTGAACTGATGATTCCTGTGATCGAACTGGCATTTGTCAAAGCACAGAGAGAGAAGACTGGCAGTATAGGGGCTCTCATGATTTCTAGCCAAGATATTCCGGAGTCCAAGAGACAGGAGGCTGCCACAGAGAGACAGAAGAGGAGAAGAGTTGCCGAGGAAAAGAGACTTAAGAAGGCCCAGGGTGAGGTAAAAAAAGGCCGATGATTGGAGTCAAGCTGATTCAGAGTTTAATGACTTCCCCATGGCTGATCCGAGTGCTGACCAGGAGAATGGTGACTTTGTCCCTAACCCAGAAAATAATGATCCCAAACCTTCCAGGCATAAGATTCGAAATAGGAAAGATATCCCGAGCATACCTCTGGCCAGCATGCGACACCACACTGGTCTCAGAGAAACTGCAGAGATAGCAACAGCTGCCTGGATTGACGGTGGTTTGATAACACCTGATGATGTTCACCTGGTGATAGATCATAACAAAGTAAGGAGAGCTCAGGAGAAACTTGTCAGTAACCTAGAAGAGGAGTTTGATAAGGGATAAGAGAAAATGGAATCAATTGTTTGTTCTTTGATGGGAGAAGGGATGACACTAAAGTGTTCATGAAAGTTGGAGATTCTGACAAGTTGTTCCCTGCCATGGTGAAGGAGGAACACTACTCCTGCTGCAGTGAACCAGGAGGGAAGTATTTGTGGCATTTCACTCCAGAGAAAGATGACATCAGGAAACCAGCTGAGATAGTGGCAGATAACATTGTGAACTGGCTCAGAGAGAGGAACGTAGACCAGACCCTGCAGGCCATTGGAGGGGACAGCACCAACACGAACACAGGGTGGCAAGGGGGGTCATACAGTGGATAGAGCGGAAGATTGGGAGGAAGCTGGTCTGGATTGTTTGTGACCTCCACACCAACGAGTTGCCACTCAGACATCTGATCCAGAAGCTGGATGGCAAGACTCTTTCAAACAACAGATGGTCTGGTCCTCTTGGCAAGATGCTGGACTCTGCCACTGAGTTAGAAATAAATCCGAGCTTTGAAAAAATCACAGTTGGCCCTCCACTCGTTGAGCTTGCACATACTGTCATTGACGACCTGAGTACTGACCAGTACTATGGTTACATGATTTGCAGTGCCATCAAAACTGGGGTCATGCCTGATAGACTTGCTTACCTGCAGATAGGTCCAGTCTCACATTCTAGGTGGCTCACAACGGCTCTCAGGTTCTGCAGAATTTGGGTCGCCCATAATAAACTGAAAGGGAACCAGCTTCACAACCTGAGACTTATTGTCCAATTCATCGTGAGTGTCTACTTGCCAAATTGGTCTTCAACACTGTCAAGTCATCAAGTTCTCCCAAGGCCGAGGCATGTTCTCTTCCAGCTTGAGCCCTGGAGGAGTCAGCCAAGGAAGGTTGTTCAGATTGTGGAGCAGACTGTGAGGAGATCTTCCTGGTATGCTCATCCTGAGGCAGTTCTGCAGACAATGCTCTGCAGTAAGGATGAGGAGGAGAGAAGAGTGGCAGTCAAAAAGATCTTGGATATGAGACTTATGAGAGGATCTGGGCATGACGAACCAGTTGGTGACGATTCCTTCAGGGTCAGGAAGACTCCTGAAGTCAATCTAGGTGCCAAGACCCTCACTGATCTCATAGATCTGGATAACATCCAGGCTGGCAGTGAGCCCCTTCTTACCTGCAGCCTCACCAATGTTCAAGCTTCTCGTGAGCTTCCCTGACAACAACCCCATGCATGTCCCTGCCTTGGCCCTCGCACACCCAGAGTATAGAGCGTTGTGTACAGCAAGTGAGCGAGGCCAGCAGTCACGTGTACAGCCAGGAGAGGAGGGAAGGCTACATCCGAGCTCAGGTGGTCAGCAGGGAGGTGATGAGTAGAAACAGAAACAAGAAAGACATGTTCTCTATGGTGTGCAGCAACACCGGGTCGTAGTAGTAAAACCAGTTTTTGTATTTGATGATTTTGTTTTCTAAAGGAATATTAAATTTAATAAATGTGTCAAGATCATTCGTTTCACTATTCTGGATCATTTTCATCCTAATAAATTAACCTGATACATTTACTTTACTTTAAATAAGCTATTTAGTGGTGTTGATAAAAGGGTGGGAATACTGAATTTTCATAAGATTTCAAGTTAAAATTTACTTAGCAAAAAATGAAAACTTTTCAAATCTGAAGATATCACATGATTCTGCACATAGAACTACATCATTAATACCATGGGCCGATTTTTCAAACTCAAAAAAAAAAAATCGCCTCCGTATGACACACCCTACTACCACAACCACGG